TTTTAAAGTTAATTTTGTATTTTATTTTTTAACATACATTTTTTAATAAAATAAAATAAAATTCATCAGCAATAACAATATAATAAATTAACATTAGATTACCAAAAAAAAAATTAACATTATTTTAATTAGTTTTGTGGAAGCTTTTTAAGATGGACCTTGATTTGAGCAAAATAATAAAATAATCAACCAAGTCATAATGGTGAGACACGTGGGATGCAAGGAACACCTAATTGTCATGGAACATTGTATCAGTTTAGTGGTAAGGATTCATTAGTGCATAATTAGGGGAAAAGTCCTATTAATATGGATAATTTTTCTTTTTCTGTAAGTTTCATCCCTCACCTACCACCATAACATGTAAAATTTACAGGGTTAAACAGCAGATGATGAATATGTAACCTTAAAACAGGGATAGTTTCATTAGAAATGTTAGTCCTAAAATGGTCATTAAGTCACTTCAAGCTGCAGACTCATAATTTCATCATTTGGTTTAGAGTTTAGAGTTTAATTAGACTCTCTTAATTTCAACCAGGGACGTGTTTTCCGCTGCCAAAATGAAACTATTTCTAACATTACCTAATCTGAATTCCTTCTTTGAGACGTCAATATTTTAACCGAATCCCCTTACCCCAGTGTGGATAGAAAAAACTAACAGTTTCTTTAGTAAAAACTTAAAAATCGTGGAGGATATGTAACTATCTTCACATGTAACATAAAAACTTCATATTGAAGTTTGACCCAAATATGAGATTTTTTTTTAAAAAAAATTTTAGTCATCGTTTTATCCTTGGCCTAGCTAACTACAATTAATATTTTAAGTTGTTAATTTGGACCGGAGAATGTGTAGTTGCTACTTGGTAGGTGATTTCTGCATCCCTTCCTACTCAACTTCCCTTCCAGATGAAAGCAATTCAAGAGTCAAAGCCACTTAATTAAGAATAAGAGAGGGATTTGTTCAGCATTCAATGCTCCTATGGATATCTATCTATGCTAATATGCTTCAGAAATTTCTAGATGTTAGTTCATAATGATTTTCATCACTTAATCAAATAATTATTTTCTATTTTTTTCAAGAGAAAAAAGGGATTGAAACCTTATTATTACTAATATCATCCTTATCTATTGGACAAAAGTAAAAAAAGAAAAGAAAGTAAACTCATTATATTAAGGGAAATATACTCCTTGAGAAAACTTTTTTTTTTTGCAACAACCAATTACAAGTTTTATCAATAAGATATAGTCACGGGGGTATTAAACGAATCAAGGAACTTTGACTCGGCTCGCGAAGGCCTGAGTTTACATGTCTAAAATTGATTGTTGACACCAGACTTGAACTTGTATAAAAGCTCGCTTAATAAAAAGGCTTTAGGCTCCAATTCAAAAGCTCACTTTAGAGCCTCTCAGACGGGCCTAGTATATATATATATATATTTTATATTTTATTTTATATTTTTTATACTACTTGTAATAGCTTTCTCTCTTTCTTCTCAATCCATTTCACTCTATTTTATTGGTTAAATAAACTTTTTGAATGGTTTTGTTCTATATTATGCTGTTTGGATATACATTGAATTTATGAATATTTATGGAATTACTAGTGTTATTGATTGTATATTCTATTTGGATAAATTTTTGTTATCTTATTTTTTTTAAACAGGCTAAACCAGGTTTTTATTTTTTGTAAATAAGTCAAGTCACAGGCTGATAATTATATTTATAACATGTAACAAGCTTGGTCAGACTGACACATTTAAACACATGCTTAGTCTTTTAAGACCAAAACTCGGCTCGGCTTGGCCCATTAACACTCCTAGATATTGTTATAATTTTAAAAGTTTTTTTCTCTTTTCTCATAAAATTATTGAGGAAGAAAAAAAAATAACTTTAATATTATAACTATATCTTATATATAAAACATAATTATAATTGATTGCTCCACAAATCTCTTGTGCAATAAAAGAAAAAGTTGGGAACCCTTATACTAAACTAAAACAAAATTGTATAGACTCGTACCTTTCCTACGAATTTGTTTGGTGTTATGGCCACCCACCATTTTAGTTATTTTTTATATGTCATTTTGAAATCAATATTCATAGTAAAATGGGAAAAATATGTATCATTTTGAAGGACACAAAATTGTATCATTTTAAGTGAGAGAAAGAGATAAATCATGTGAGAGAGAATGGATGAAAAAAGTTTTAAATGTGTGGATCTTACCTCTTTGTAAGAGTGATGTCATTTAAAATAACATATATTTCCCCCTAATAAAATTAGGGCAAATGATATAATTACTGATGTGAATATTTATCGTTCATTTTAAAAACTTGGTAGCAAGAGTTTTAACAACATAATTACTCTTTTAATAAAATTATTATATTTTACAATAATTCTGTTGAGAATATTTTTAAGAATGAGTTTTAGAAAAATAGTACGGTAATTGACTTGGGCGGGAGAGTACTTTATGCAGATTACCAAGTATTGAAAAGCTCTATGGCCCCCTAAGCTGGTATCAGACTGGCCCTAATGTACACTAAAAAATAAAGTTTTACTCTCAATTATAGGTATATGTTTTTTATTGTTATGATCTATGAAGTACCGGCACTTCAAAAATTTTGATGTATCGTGTCTGATATTTTTCGACACTCTCCGACACTCCAACACGCGTTGTAGAAACTCAAAAAATGGTTCAAAGGTTGCATCGCGTTTTTAGTTCCAACTATAAGATTCATTGGATTACGATTACCATTTTATTGAATATTTGAGATATCTTATGTTTCTTTGCAAAATCGATAAGTATTATAAGTTTGACTTAATTTTTTTGTTAAATTATTGAATATTAAATATAATATACACTACATAAATTAAAAATATTATTTAATATCAAAACGTGTCTTAATGTGTCAAAATCTAACATTTTTTAGAATTAACGTGTCGAAATATCATATCGTGTCGTATCACGTGTCACGTGTCGGTATCTATGCTACATAAGTTATGATTATTAGTACTATTACTATTATTATTTAAGTATGTGAGATAGATTTAACACACACACACAAAATTAGAATGATCTAAACGTATGTATTGAGTTGATTTTTTTTAAATATTCACTCAAATTTAGTTATTATTATTATTATATATTTTTTGAGTTTTGGATTTGACCTTGAATTAAAAAAGAAAATATATTTCTCATATTGCATGAAATAATTTTATATCATATATGCACAAAAACAAGTGTATGAAATAAAATTCTTTCATATAATATGATAAACATATTCTCCATTTAAAAAATAAATAAAAACACGTGGCTTCCTATTTTTCGAGTTTTTGTCTAGATGGGGAAGAAGAATTTTTTCTATGCGCTGGTAGCACATGGTCCCTCAAAATAAAATAATATAAAAAGTGGAATATGTGTAAAAATAAATATAAAGACAAGGATAGTATAAAAATATTATTTTTTATTATATTTAATAAAAAGACCATCGAATATTCCGTGATCTTGAAAGACTGAAAATATTTCGATAGGGAAGATATGTAAAAGTTAAATCAATATAAAGTTAATTATATAAAAAGAAAGTGACACGATATGAAACCCATAACGTATACAGAACAGCATGAATTCTAGCTAAACAAGGTTACCATGAATGTTGGTGATGTCTGTCTGTAAATGACATTGTATTTCCATCACATCTTGAAAACCCAAATTCCAAACTAGGAAAGTAAGTTGGAATTTGGAAATAGCGTTTCCAGTTTAGCTTAATTTGTTAATAATTATTGAACCAAAATTCCCCCAAAGCAGGAGGAGCCCGTCTACCATTTTCACATTTTATTTTAATATATTGACTGGTCCATAACTATGGGCACAGTTCTCAATTTATTTATTTTTTGAAATTACGGTATATTTTTTAAAGGAACAATATTTATTCTTTTAAAGGATATAAACTTATATCCTTTCAAATCTTAACAGTTTATTTTCGTCTATCAACAGTTATAATTTATTGAATTAAAATTATTAATTAATTAATAATAAATTTGACCAATTAAGTTTGACCCAATAGATTATAACCGTTGATGGATGGAAATTAACGGTTAGGATCTAAAAGGATATAAACTTATATCCTTTAAAAGGATATATGTTTTTTCTATTTTTTAAGGTGATTAATAATTATTGGCTTCATTTTAACTTATTTAATATTAAACATATATTTACAAACTAAATTATGTAGAGTAAATACCATTTTGGGTTCTTAACAAAAAATACGGTCCCCACTTGAATCTCTTACAAAAATAAATTAGTCAGTTAGTCCCTATCAAATTCAAAGTGGACCCATTTTAGTATGGGTCTTTTTTGAATTTGTGAGGGACCACGATTTCAACTAAATGAGTGCACTTTGAATTTGTTAGGGACTAACTGACTAATTTATTTTTGTAAGGGACTAAAGTGGGGACTGTGTTTTTTTGTTAGGGACCAAAAATAATATTTACTCAATTATGTATTTTAAAAAGTACAAATACTTAAGTGTGTACTCCCAAAATATATAATATAATTTATAAATAAAAAGATTTATAAATATAACGTAACCCTAAAGAAAGTTTTATATAAGTCAGGTTAATAATAAAAAATTAATAAACCGAATAATCTATTGCCTTGTATAGCGCCTGGTATTGAAATCAAGTCCATTCTCTCTCTCTTTCTCTATCTCTCTCTTTCTCTGTGTGTGTATGACGTTACATAGAATAGAATGAATATATAAACTTGGTCTGTTACAGAGTCTCTGTTACAATTAAGAAAACGTGTAGCTAGCAACCATTCTGCTCACCTACCTGTTTCTTTCTCAGCGTGATTTTCCTTTGCGAATTGTTTAATTGGTCTTTTTCTCGATTCTCATTGTTGAATCTTACCCAAACCTTTATTCAACTTGGGTCACAGTTCATATACTAATTCAATCGGGTCATCATAGCATTTGTCTGTGGGGTCCAAGTGCGAAACCATTATCTCTCATTCACTACTTCACAATGTCGTGCTTGGAATCACCCAAACTCACCAACCACGACCACTCTCATGTCTCTCTCTCTCTTCCCTGAGACTCCAGATTGTCTTGTTTGATTTTGATGGCTCTTAAGGGTGTATCCATCTGGGGTTGTTCCCAAGCTCCTCCTCCTCAATTGGGTGTTGTGAATTCTCATCATTCCACGCTTCAGATTGGGAATCTAAGATATGATCTTGAGAAATGCCGCAAATGGGAGTGTTGTTGTTTGGGTATTTTAGCTGAGAGAGCTATCACTCCTGTTGAAGATGAGAAGCCAAGTGTCCCCTTTGTTGAGTCTTCTGGGGATGCTGATGGGGTTCACCAAAATGACTCAGACGGGTTTCATAAGGATATTAACCTGCTTCCTAGTGAGTTATATGATATTTCTCCCTTACCTTGTAATTTAATTTTGTGTTTCATTTGCATTTGTGCTGATAATTGCTATATCACAGTTGAGTTATATATTGAAAGCATACTATTGCTGTAATGTTGCGTGTTTATGTTTGATTTGATGTTTCTTAAAGAGGTTATTGTAATTTCCTACCATCCCACCCACAGCTGAATGATGATCTTCTTCTTCTTCTCTTACATGTATTTTTAGTTGCAATCTTGTAGATAATGAAGATAGCCAAGGCAGAAGGAAAGCCCTACTAACTAGAACACACAAAATCAGATAGGATTTTGAGATAAAGGGATATACCTGAGGTTGAGAAGAGGGAGAAGGCATCCCATATTCTTAACTTTACACTATATCAACCCCCTTCCCCCAACCCCCCCTTCTCTCTCTCTCACACACTTAGCAGTTCTTTCATTTAATTCTTCCATATTCCCTTAAATCAAATAGTTGGAAATCAAAACTACCTGAAAAGAGAGAATGTTTGTGATGTGATTTGATTACTTACATTTATGCATGCTTGTAAGATATGTAGCAAGGAAATAGACTAAATATGCCATAGAACACCAAATTTTCTTAATGTTAATCATGTCCATTGCATCCAATTTCTTTTTGGTGATACACAGTGGCCTCAGGGTGACACTGTCTAAAATCTTGACTCAGTATGATGGCATTGAACGAGAATGTTTTTGACTTTTGAGTGCAGGCATGCACTATATAGTCTTTAAAGATTATGAATTCTATCAGAGCAACAATTAATGATCCATAGGTTACTCAGCTAATTATAATTGTAATTTTCTTATAATGATTACTATAATTAAGATATGTTGTATTACATTGATCTTACTCATAAATTAGAATAATAGGTTCAAAAGTTGATGGTTTTAATCCATAGATTTTACTCGTCAAAAATACATTTTGAACTATGAACCCATGCTAGCATATGCATTTGCGTGCGTGCAGATAAACAAAAATTGGTAATATGTTTTAATGCTAGCAGTAGTCCGTAAGTGATTTAATCGCCTTTCCTATTTTGCTCAACCTTTTTGTAACTTCTTTAATTGCAGAGCCATTAACAGCAATTGACGTTTCTTCTTCTCCAAGAGATGGATCAAAAGTGCGCGTGGCTTACCAGGTATGATGATCAATAGTTTCTTTTCAAATAAAATATCCATCGCATTTTTGCCTTTGCTAACTAGTCAATTGTCTGATACAGGGACTTTCGGGAGCATATAGTGAGGATGCTGCTTTGAAAGCATATCCAAAATGTGAGACTGTGCCATGTGATGACTTTGAAGCTGCATTTAAGGTTCCAATATTTTTTTGTTATATCTTCTCTCTCTCCATTTGATGCATTAACTTATAACCGCTGCAGTTATATATTTGTATTCTTCTCTGCAGGCAGTTGAATTGTGGTTAGTGGATAAAGCTGTTCTACCCATTGAAAATTCTGTTGGTGGAAGCATCCACCGAAATTATGACTTACTCCTTCGCCATAGGCTACACATTGTTGGGGAGGTGCAGTTGCGTGTCAACCACTGCCTCTTAGGTTTGCCTGGTGTGAGAAAAGAGGAGGTCAAAAGTGTTGTGAGTCATCCTCAGGTTGGCTATTACATATATTTCTTTTCTATTTTTCTCCATTTTGGTAAAGTGTGATTGAAGATGATGCAGCATGTTTCCTATTCAAAGAAACTGAATGCTATTCATGATTGTGCTTTCAGAATGCCGCGACTTTACATTAGTTCAATTTATTGGATTGTCTTAGTACATTAGCCTTACTGTTCTGCTACGCAATAGTTGAATATTTTTCAAGACAGAATACTGGCTCACATCAACATGCCGACTTTCAAGTCTTAACTTGGTTTATGATTGCATAGACTTTTAAGACAGCTGACTGCAACTTCAAAATAAGCTTACCTTGACATCGACATCAACATTAACATTCAAAATACCTAGTTATAATAATATTTTTACATGCAGGCTCTTGCTCAATGTGAGAAGATGCTTAGTGATTTAGGTGTTGTCAAAATTAGTGCACATGATACTGCTGCTGCTGCTCAGGTATGGCATGAATTTTCTTTTTGTCTGCAAGTAAGCATTGATTAGGTTGTAGAGTGGCATGTCCTAACAGTTAGGATCTTGTGGACAGACAGTGGCCTCAAATTGTGTAAGGGACACTGGAGCTATTGCAAGTTCCCGAGCTGCAAAAATATACGGCCTTGACATTCTTGCAGAAAGAATTCAGGTCAGACTTCATTTACATGTTTTGGAAGATTGAGCTGCTAAAGCATTATGGCCTTAGCTTTTGTTTTCCTTTTATCACAACATAGTTTTTAATGCATACAATATGAGTGCATTGGATGTTATTTTCACTTGGGTTAGGAGTTAATGCCTCTCCCAAATTATTGCTTTCCTTTCTGAGCTAGGATTAAACAATGTTTATATAGTTTTTTTCTCAATATTTGTGCCAATCTTTTGAAATTGAGCTATAATCATTATTTCCTATCTAGAAATGAATAAGGTATTGGGCTTTTCTTTTACCCTAATTAGTAGTTTTCTAAAATGAATTTGATAATGTAGTACTTTTCTTTATGATATCATTTATATTGCAATTATTAGCCATTATTTTTTCCCTCTATTTTTATGTTGCTGTGGAAGTTTTTAGTTGTCTTGGAAGACTCGGTCTTGATGAAAAGGAAGCCCTATACCTGGTTTGTTCCAATCAGTTGTCTGATTGAAAATTTGTTTTTGAAATGACGTGGTATGAAAGTTGTTGCTTGTTTGTCAAGTATATGTTATGCGATTGTAAAGCTGCAGAGATATGCGGGTGCTTTAACATACAAAAAAAATATGTTATGGAAGGATGCCTTGGAATATGACACATGCTGATATGTGCATGGCCGTCCACAGAAAATATAAGAGAAAATGTTAAATGATTGCATTATCTATTAAGGAATACTTTAAAAAATTCTTACTGATCATTCTGTTCTCCATTTTTTGTTTTTATTGGAAAACATTTTGTTGTAAGCACAAAATTAAAGTTGAACTAGTTCATTGCCATCATGATAGGATGACGATGAGAATATTACTCGTTTCTTGGTCCTAGCAAGGGAGCCTATAATTCCAGGAACTGACAGGCCCCATAAGGTATAAAAACTTTAGTTATTTATACTTTTAGTTTTATGAATTGGCTAATGAATTCATGATTTTTCTCTCAGACTAGCGTTGTTTTCAGTCTAGAAGAAGGTCCTGGTGTATTATTTAAAGCCTTGGCAGTGTTTGCTATGAGGGATATTAATTTGTCAAAGGTGAGTTATATCATTGGTGCTGAACTTTTGAAATTAAAAAACACATTCATAGCTCTTATTTCTTTCATGTAAATTCAGATAGAGAGTCGCCCACTGAAGCAGCGCCCGTTAAGGGTTGTTGATGATTCAAATGAAGGGAGTCCCAAGTGAGTAATTTTGTTCCCTCTATGAGATTCGCAATTGTGGAGTTCAGTCTGTAAATTTTTTAGCTTGCACGCACGCAAATTGACCAGTGGTGCATACTTTATCCAGTCAACATTTATGAAGCTAATGGGAGTATGACATAGAGTATACAACTAATGGGCAAGAAGCTTCTTCGGGTAAAGATGGGAGGGCAAATGATGTAGTTCATGATATGTTGAAATCACTTTAGTCATTCACATTACTAGATTATCAAATATAATACAGCTTTGTTCTGAAAATCATATTTCCAACTTTTTGATTCAAAAAGTGAAAGGAAATAGTTCGGACATTGGTGTTTAGTTTTACTTCATGATTATGATCTAATGATTGTATTTTGCATGGAAATGTGCTGTGGAACTTTATTTAGGCATAAAATTTTTCTGGTGGCAGATACTTTGACTACCTCTTCTACATTGATTTTGAAGCTTCTATGGCAGACCCTCGTGCACAGTATGCTTTAGGACATTTGCAGGTACACCCATTGTCTCGAGTTTAATTTTTGGAAAAAGCATTTGTCATTTTAAAAGACACAATTTTGTTTGCCTTTAAAACAAGATCATTTAACTTAAAAAAATACAAAATTATGTTATTTAAACTGGCAAATGTTTTTCCCTCAATATTTTGTTCCTTATTGAGTCGCATAATTCATATTAGATGAAATTTCTCAATGCGGGCGTGCCTGACATCATTATTTAATAAATACATATTTTTAATTATTGATGAATAATGAGTCTCTAATTATACATTATTTTATGAAACATGTATTATACATTAACAAGAATTACAAATTTTGTAGAAAGTATTTTTATTTGATGATAAAAAAAAGGAAAGAATAAAAGAAATACTTCAATAGTTAAGGTATATAATTTGCTTACCAAAAAAAAGATAAATAATTTAAATAAGGGTTCGCTTTTTCTGCAGTTACTGTAGATAACTTATCTGCAGTAAGTCCAATACGACGTCGTTTTGAGACAAAAATCATGTTGTTTTTGTAATTTTAATTTATTTCAGAGTTATAATAGTCTTTTTATTTATAATTTTTTAAGATTTTAATACCAAAATGACGTCGTTTTGGGAATAAATGCAGATAATTTATCTGCAGTAACTGCAGAAACATTTTTCCCTTTAAATAAATGATCATTATATTAAATACGAACTAATCATGAGAATCTAGAGTTAGATATGTCAATCCGTGGATTTGAATTTTTTTATATCCAAATTGAGGGGTATCTGCACCCAAAGAGGTCCCATTGATCTGGGGATCTAGGGGTTGATGGTGAGATATCCATAAAGGACAATAACCAATTTATGCTGTGTACAATAAAATGTTTGTGCTTTTTAATTTCCTATGGAGCTTCTGGTAGAATATTCACAATCACAGATTCGCATTTGGTTGTAGATTAGTGCCTTTTCTACTTGCTTGATCCAACGGCTTATATACCACTAAGTCTAACTGTTTATCCATATCAGTTGCATGATACCTTGTTAAAATTCCTTTTGCTACACTAAATCCGTGTGTAATCGCAAAATCTAGCTGTCCTCGCTATGTTTTTTTACACAAGGTATTATATTGATGTGCTTTCTGTGTTGACTTTAACCATGTTTAGGATTTGTCAAAGGCAGCTTTCAAATCAAATGTTACCTCAAATTGTTAGTAACGTCTTCTGTCTTTGTTTTTCCATTTCAGGAATTCGCTAGATTTCTTCGAGTTCTAGGTTGTTATCCCATGGATACAGTTTCATAAAAGTTCAATGCCTTAACTAGGAGCAACAGTCAATGCCGTTCATTTTACTGATAGCATAAGCGGCTACTGCCACAGGTTCATCTTCAATCAGAGACAAGGGGAGAAAGTATTCTTTAAAAGCATTACCCCTTTCTAAATTCTTTTCATCTCCTAAGGAGGTGCTTTGGAGTATCATGATAGTTTCAACAGTGGGGTGAATGCTGGTACAGGCATCGTCATTTCGTTATTTTATTTCGAATGCAGATTGGATAGGCATGAAAGACCAAAGTTTGTTACCTTTAACTGCAAACTCATGGACACTTGCTTCCCTAACCCTCCTTTCATTCAGATTTGAGATCCCTTTATATTAAAATAATTGCAATGCGAACTTAGTCACTAAGTATATAATAATGACTCCAATGAATAATGGCAAATAAATGGATGACCAAGATGCTTTCCATGTTATTCGGGCTATGCTGTGAAACTCAACTCATTTTGATAATTTTATGAATAAACTTTTAAAAAGTGTATATTTATGGCATCATCCAATATAATATTTAATTTAACCGATTGAGGAAATTGACCCTTAACTCGGCAACTTTTCTTGGCCATTGCATAAACCCAGTTTTAAAACACTGCTAAACAAGGCTCAATATATGATAAATTAGTCGATTAATGATAGACAGCATGCAAGAGGTTTTAACTGTGCTTTTAAGTCAATTACAGAACCACGTAAAAGCAAACATACTGATGACTGGTACACTGATAAAAACACACAACGATCCCTGATCAATGCGAGACAATTTATTCATACATAAGCACTAGGACAATTTAATTCGTGCAAAGCTCGCTCCTCACTTCAATTCTTTCAGGAAATCTTCATTGTCAACCAAGACCTACAAAATTCATACAAAATAAATCATACCACCTATTTATTATCGAGATGGCGGCAAATTAGCACAGGAAAGAGGAGCAGATGTATGAACATATTCAAAGTACATTGCACTTCCCTTCTATGCTCACATGTTAAGAAGGAATCATATTACCATTGAAGAAAAGAAGGCAATCAACTGTTCTCTCACATGCCAAAGCACCAAACTTTTTATATTAGATGCTAAAATTAAACATGAGGTTAGAAACTTATAGGCATGAAAGCTATGGTAAATATAAATAACAGAGATAAATAATCGAATTTCGGGTCCATTTTTCCAAAAGATGGAAAGGTAGCAAAGAATTAAAAGAATGAAAACAAACAAAACATGCCATGAGACACTTCTTATTCTAAATTCAACATTTACAATCCCTTTAAGTTGCTGGTCAGAATGAAGTTCATCTCCGTGATAATGGATTCACAAAAGTTGAAACAAAACATTCTTTTATTTCTGGCTAAATATCCTTGAAGATACCATGAGGAATTTCCTGTTCTACATTTAACAATCATAATAAATTTATATCTAGTTCTTTAGACCGAATAGTTTTGCTCATACCCATAAGTAGTTTCAACAGCATAAAAAGTTTGCTATCAAAATAATGCAAGTTTGTTTAAAGCAGCCACTTAAATGTTAACATATTAGCGAGTTTTGTTCATAGGACATGGAAGATAGAATCTAGAACCCTAGTCTCTCCTTTCAAACATAAAGTTTATATATGACACAAAAAAAATGTATCATCAAATTACAGCTGTGGGAAGCAGCCCCTGGGCCAGATATTTACGTGATTTTTCAGCATAATTCACCTAATATTTCAGCAGATGCTTCTACAATAAAATAAATAAATATTGAAGTCATATTCCTACTCAATATAAGGAAGGGGGAAAAACACTTACAGTTTTCCATCCATCTGGATCTAAAAATGAAGTAACTTTTGTGTTAAGACCAGGAATTGGCCCTGGTTGCCGAGTAATCTTCCCTCCAAGCTCTTGTGTGACTAGGTTAACTAACTCCGCGCTCTTGTATACGTCATCAGTACCAATAGCAATCTGTTATAGATGGCACACAAATTTTATCATTAAGGGAGGGGTACCGAGAAGTGCAGAAAGCCAGTTTAGGCTTCAAGAAGGTAATGTAATATAACCTATCAACTAACCTGTGCATAAGCATTTCCCTTAGAATATTCAGTGACACCATAGTTATATGTCAACTCCAACACAGTTGTCTCGTGCTCCTCTGCGTACCCAAGAATAGCTACAGTGTACTGCAGGACATGCAACATATAACATATTGCTAGTTAGTAAAATGGCTTAGTCATGAAAGATGTCCCTGCTAGTAATGTCCATCCATACCTTGTACTCAGGCCTATCAACCTTCCTCAACACCTTCAAGCCCAAAGCCTGTGCATATATGGTCCCATAAGAACATAGCCTTAGTTAATAAAACGCATTTGGTTTAATAGATATTTAAATTATAATTCATCAAATTCAGCTCTGTGATTCTATTTTGTGTATCACAAGCAAAAGCTACCAATTCCCGATCCAGATCCTTTGTTCCGCACAAGACAGAAGATTAAATTTTGGTCTTTCAGCGGTTGCTATATATTGTAAACAACACAACAACGCCATTAGCTGATCTTCAAGTACGGAAAACCCACTGAGGAAACTCATCCATTCCATAAAGAAAATTGGGAAATGGATAAGAAGAGTACAGGGCAACAAAGTTCACACTTCACAGAAAAGAATTTCCATGGAACTAACTAGAAGCCATAACTCAATTTGTTTTCATCTAAATAAGAAAGGTTTACTTGGAATCTTGGATAATGAAATTGAATGATGCTGATTGAAAACAGTTATTTATACAGCACGCAAACTTTAGCTCATGGGGCATGGGCCTACAATGATTTTTCTTATGCACACAAAAGCAAAAAAATAAATTAATGGAAACTTTCACAAAGTAGAGTTTACAGTGTTTGACTTTGGACTGTTACCACTGGAATCTGTAGTACATATGAAAACCAAAAAACAAAAAGACTAGGACTGTTACCTTTTCATAAAACTTAACTGCACGCTCTAAATCACCAACACGAAGCATTATTTGACAAAACGGGTCATGAATTGTAGGTCTTTGGATGAGTCCGAAAGAGTAACCATCAGGATCCTTCACAAAGGCAATAACAGTCGTCCCGCCCTGAACTGGACCAGGCTCCCTAGTGATGTTTCCACCCTTGGCCCGGATGTTTTCAACCAATTTGTATATCTAAAAATTGAAGCATTACACGGTCCATTTTTTTGGGAGTGTAAAATAGATGCTCAAGCTCTAATGAGTAATGAAAGAAGACTCTGCCTTACATCTTGAGTTGCAATTGCAAAATGTCCAAAGCCATCTCCAATGTCATACGAGGTCACCCCATAATCTGAAAATAAGATCATACATAATTTAAATTGTTAGAAGAATATAAAAAAAACCATGTATGCTGTGGCGATACTTCATGGGCAAATCAGTCCCACACAGAACATATGGTAAGCAATTGCCAAATAAAAAGAATCAAAACAAGGTATTTAACTCCATATAATCAGTGTACCATAATTAAAAAAAGAACTACATAACCAGAGAACCACGGTATGCATGAACATAAATAAATACATCAAGGAAAAGGTTAGCACTTAGCAGAGTAACATACTATATGTTAATTCGACAACAAAATGGGTTTCTTCAGGGCCAAAGCCAAGAAAAGCATTAGCGTATTTCTCCTCCGGAATATCTCTTTGCCTCAAAAGCTTCATTCCAAGACATTCAGTGTAAAACCTGAGAGAACCGTGAGGAAATTTTAAGCATCTAATCAAACACAAAGAATGTAACAATTAACTAGGACCCATGTTACAAAAAGCCTACTTGATGGTGCGATCCAGGTCACCAACACGGTAGACGGCATGAAGCAAGCGGCGCTTATCATTCTTTGGCCATTCCAACAAATCAGCCATATTCAATGTCTGCAACACAAGCCAGAAACAATTAAACACCACAAAGTTTTACACTCACAATGCATAAAAAAGCTAAACTATTAACAAAAACAAGCAGATCAAACACCATCATCAGCTTCAACAAAAGTAAATAATATAAATTTATCTGACTCAGTTACTAAACATACACCATCATTCAGCTTTAAGCAAGGAAAAACGTCACAGAAGAAAATGGAAAAGCTCAATAAGGGATCCAGATCGGTTTGTTTGAACACTTTAACAGGATGCAAAGTTGTGTAATACCAAGCTTAAAGCTTTGTTAGGAGCAGAACACCACCCAGGGATCACAGATTATGAGCAAAATGACTCATTTAGATAAAGGGGGTTAGAGATGGAACAGGATTAAACCAAGCAAACATCACACCAAACACTCATTCGTAGAAGTGAACCATGTGATTCAGCTTAAAAACATGTATAATGAAATCAAAGACACATATGTAACTAACCAGTGAGAGTGAGGGCGAGGCTAGTCTCTAGTCTCTAGTCTGTGACTTGAACACTAGTAATGGAGTTGAGTGGAGTGTTGCTATTTATGATATATTATCTTCACATTTTTTGGTGAATTAATGAGTGCAAGAATAATGAAATGACAGATAAACAGTCAATTTTTCCCACAAAACTCTAATTACAACTTTAAAATCTCCCCTGAATAAATAAATAAATAATAAAAATAATCAGCAATGATTGTTCAATGTAAGCCTTGATGGGACAGAAAAAAAAAACGAAAGAGAATTGAATAAGTGATGAATTTGTAATAAGCCGAAGCACGTAACGTTCTTTAATTAGTGAAATTTACATTAATATAGGAGGACGTTTGGTACAGAAGAAATTTTTATTTATCCAGAAATTTTAATTTTTAAAAATATAATTTTTTTATTCAGTTTACGATAATATCTGAAAATTTAAAATTCTAAAAATTTCTATTTCCAGAAATCTGAGAAAATTTCGTATACCAAACAGGCCATAAAAAATATCTGCGCATATAGATACTTTTTAATTAGTTTTCTTGTTATATATCCCTATATATGTACTGCTTTAACTTTAAAATAGAGAAGAAATAATAAAAATAACATATCTGCAAGTAATACATTTTTTTTTTTTTATAAACACAAGTAATACATATTTAATTCAAAGAGGCTTGTGCTATTTATTTGTATAGATAAAAGAAGTTGAATTCCTAAGTGTGGTGGCTCAGTTAGTAGCATGAGGATTAAGTGGTGGGAGATAATCTCAGTTCAAATTCCATCAACATTATCTGGGGAGGGGCATAAATACAGTAATCCTTGGACTCGCACCCAAACTCTGGATTAGTCCCAACTCTGGATTAGTCCCATAGGCAGCTAAAAGAGTTGAACCCATGAAAATACCGAGGGTTCTGATTCGCCTCAAAAAAAGTATAGTTAGGATCAGTTTCCAAAAAAAAAAAAAAAAAAAAGTTGAATAGTTAAATATCAAATCTTAATTTTTTTTTTCCAGCTGTTAACAATTCAACTCACAAAATCACCTTAAATTTATATTTAAAAAAATATTTTGATATGATATTATTTCGATTGTTCAGAAAAAAAATATTAAACGAGTTGAATTAGTATAAAAAAATTAATTATCTAATCCAAATCAACCTAGTCAGTCAAATTGATAAAATAAATTACTCATAACATAAAATGACTTGATTAAATTCATATCAAATGTAATCTAGTGGTGAGCACTATAATTTATATTCTCCCAACAAGAGTTCGATCCTGGGGCAATTTTTGAAATAATTATATAATAAATTTAACCAACAATATAATTTGAGGTTGGAACATGGATTATTGAGAATAACAAATATAACACTTACCACAAGGCTATAACTATTTTGTGTATGCATTTTCACAAATCGATTCGAGAAAAAAAAACTGATACTAATTAATATCAGTTGAATCGCGGTTCATTATTGATTTACCGAATTAATACCGGAGCAATTACGTATCAAAATCATTGCTGAAATCGGACTGATTGATCAGCCAATTTTTGAGGCAATCGATAGGACCGGCCCGCAAACCCATTATCACGAGTTCTTTATGGGTAAGCATTTTTTATTCTAAGAGGATATTTATCTTTAGTATATTATTTATTATATTATATTATATTATATATATATATATATATATATATATATATATATATATATATATATTCAACTCATTTAAACTGTGTGTAAAATTAATTCCCGTTCAATTAACAATAACACGAGAATAATGCAACTTTCTGGACAATAATTACTTTTCTCATATTCAAATTTATGTTCTAATCAAGTGGTTGAGATTCTTGAGAACACTTAAAAATCTCTTACTTTTTTTTTTACATCTCAAGTCTCTTCATAATCTCTGTTGCTTGTCCCAAGTCCCAACATGACCGAGACAATTAAGGGTGTGCATGGCAATCATTCTATTTGTATATACTATTTCTGAGAAGAAACAATTCTTTTATATTTCTGTGCTTTGAAACAGTTTCTGAGAAAAAAAATGTTTGATAATATGTTCTTTTTATATTCCGAGAATGAGAATTGCGTTTGATAACACATCAAAATAATATAATAAAAAATAATTCCTATTAACCATAAAAAAAATTCAGATCATCAGTTTCCTTTATATATGGTGGTGGTGGCGTGGTGATGGTGGTAGTGGTGGCGGCGGCAACCATGGTGGTGGGGGTGGTAGTGGCAGCAATGGTGGGGGTGATGATGACAGTGGCTGCAGCGGTGGTGGTGATGATGGAAGTAGTGGTGGCGACAAATGTGGTGGTGGAGATGGTAGTGGCTGCGACGGTGGTGGTGATGATGGCGGTAATGGCAGAGACTGCGACGATGGCGGCATGGTGGTGATGGTGATGGCAGTGGCTGCAGCGGTGGTGGTGGATATGGCAGTGGCTGCGACAGTGGTAGCGGTGGTGGTGGTGATGGTGGTAGTGGCGGTGGCGATGGAGGTGACGACAGTGGCTGCGACGATGGCGGCGGCGGCGGCGTGGTGATGGCATGGTAGTGGTGGCGACAGTGTTAGACAGGTGGCTTCAATACTCAAGAGGGGGGTGAATTGAGTATTACAAAATCTTTTCGCAAAGTACCTCCTTTGATGTTTTAAAGACTATTTCTTCAATAAAGTGATTTAATAAGGAAATGTCTAATTGTAAAAGCAAGTGTAGTGAACAACAAAGTAAGCAATCGTATATATAAAGACAATCTAAGATGCATTTTTAATACTTAAATAAAGAGATTAAGGTTAGAGAAATTGCAAACTAGATGTATCTTGGTTCGGTCACCACCACCGTGACCTACGTCTAGACTGAAGCCGCTCGATCAATTCTTTTCACTAACTATCAAGCTTGAGGGTGCTTGACAAACCACTACAACTTTTCAAGACTTCGGGCTCTTGATGCCTTACACTTTTTCACTCCAAATTTTCTTAGGAATTTGGTAACCTCTCAAATATAGGGCTTCACTCCCCTCTCAAATCAAGAAGTAAGATTGAGGTGATTAGAAGTGGCTAAGTACTCTCAAAGTACAGATTGAACAAATTGAAGAACTAAGAGATGTATAACTTCAAAGGAAAGATGAGCTCAAGTGTATGCAATGATCAAAATGAGTAATTAATGAGTAATAAAAGGCTAGCAAGAGTAATAAAGCTTCAATAAATGCTATAGGGTCGTGTACTGTTCATCCCAGCTGATGTGGGTATTTATAATGACAGCTCCTATGAAAACTAGCTGTTTCTAGCCGTTTATAGCCGTTGTAATCCGTACATATCCGGATATTGGATATCCGGATATCAATATCCGGATATTTGATATCCGGATATTCTATGTGCAATATCCAGATATTTCATGGCAGCATCATTTTTGCTCGAATTCTGAGTTTCTTTTCTTTTCAAATGGTTCCTATGACTTGTAAGGTATGTTATTGGTTATGGAAATTGTCTAGAAAAGTTTGTATTTTGTAGGTACCTCTTCCAAACCAATGTTGTACTTATAAAACCATTTGTTTTGACTTTTCTTTTAAGGATGCATGCTTTTGAAATATATGATTGATGAATGACCTTGAGCTCATGCAATGCTTATCATCTATACATCTTTACACATTTTTCCTAAGTCCTAAATAAATATACCATTTGAGATTTTGGACTTGGATAGATACTTGAGACTTGGTGCATGCTTTCACATTTGCTTTTTGATATTGCTTCGTCTTTGAATCATTCTTCTTTGTTAACATCAAAACTATGTTGACGTGGAAACATCAAGTGTACGTTGTATCCACATCATCACTTTGATTCATCAGATAGTAGTGGTTTCGACGATGGTAAAGGTGGTTCGAGACGGTGGCAGTAGTGGAGGCGGTAGTGGTGACGATGGTGGTGGAGTGATAGTAGTGATGATGGTGGTGACGACAATGGCTGCGACGATGGCGGTGGCGGTGGCGTGGTGATGGCATGGTAGTGGTGGTGACGTAGTGGCTTTAGTGATGGTAGTAGTTATGGTGGCGATGGCAGTAGTGCTGGCGTCATGGTGGTGGTAGTGGCGGTGGCTGCGATGGTGGTGGTGGTGGTTGGTGGCGGTGATGGTGATGGTGGTGGGGACGATGATGGTAGTGGTGACAGTGGCAAGGTGGTAGTGATGGGTGGAGGCGGTAGTGATGGTGGCAGTGACATCGTGGTGGTGGTGGTGATGGAGACACTGGTGGTACAACGACGATGATGGTGGAGGTGATCGTGTCGGGATGATGATGGTGGTGGTGATGATGGTAGAGCTGGAGAGTGATTGAGAGAGACAAGTGTTTCTCATTTTGTGCCCGAAAACAAAAAAACAGAAATTTTTTGATTCTTTTTCCTGTTTCCCAGCACAAAAATTAAACCGGATCATCCCTGGAACAAAAAAATAAACTGATTTTACCAAACAAGTTCTCTATCCATTTCTGCTCCCAGGAACAAAAATTAAAAAAAATTAATTCCGGAAAGGTTGTCATGCACACCCTAAACATCTTACGTGGGCCTACCATCATCAGCATTCCCACTCGTATTTTTTCTTTTTCTTTTTCTTTTTATATAATCCCACTCACATTTTTTTTAGCACACATGAACGACGTGCAGTTCTCCATGGTGGTCATTTTTTTATCTTGTAATATTTACTTACGTAAAAAATGTATATTATTTTAAAGGGAATAACATCTGTCATTTTAAAGTATATAACCTTATATCATTTTAGATACTAACCGTTGATTTATGTCCATCAACGGTTATAATTTATTTATCAAAATTATTAATTAATTAATAATAGATTTGACCCATTAAGTTTGACCAATAGATTATAACCGTTGATGAACGTAAATCAACGGTTAGGATCTAAAAATGATATAAGGTTATATCCTTTAAAATGATGGATATTATTTCCTATTTTAAAAGATATAAAATTGTGTCATTTTATTAATAAAAAGAGATAGATCATGGGAGGAAGAGTGAGAGAATTTTTTTTTTAAAGTGTGGGTCTCACCTATTACGAGAGTGAAAGAAGATAAAATATATCATTTGAAAT